CCCCCCAAAAGTAACTGGACTTTCTTGGCATTTTCTTTGAAAATATTTTACTTCTCCAAAACGTTTCTTCAGTCACTCAGGCAGTGTTTCTCAACCTTGACAATTTTAAGGCATGTGGACTTCAACTCCCAGAATTCCACAGCCAGCATTGCTGGCTGTGGAATTCTGGGAGTTGAAGTCCACATGCCTTAAAATTATCAAGGTTGAGAAACACTGAGTTAAAGAGCGGTTGTTGTGGGGAAAATAGGAGGAAAATGTGTGGGAGAGCTTTGCCACTTTGAGCTTTGTGTAAGTAATTAAACAACAGGTTGCACCCACATCCGGCAGTAAGAAAAATATAATTAAAAATCCCCAAAGTGAGCTGACCACCTATTTTTTTTTTTTTTTACCTCAGTTTGACCTAAAGCCTCGGCTGTTTAGCTTTTTTTTCCCTGGGACACGATCGCCTCCTAGTGGACAGTGTCGCCATTTTCTCCATTCAACCGAAGAAACAAGTATTCAGACACAAAAGGCTAATCAACTTAATTTAATTCTAAAAGTCCTGCTTTCTCCACTGTATCTAAGGTTTTGAACAGAAAAAGCTGATACAGTAGTGTACATCTTCCTTGAGAGGAATAAGTTAGAAAAGTCATTAAAAAAATTCAACCCTCTTTCCAAAATGACTGGGGCGATTGTGCTATAATGGAGTGGTTCCCAATCTATGGTCAGAGGAGGGCTCTAGTGGGCAATAGTAATAGCCCTTAGACTTATATACCGCTTCACAGTGCTTGACAGCCCTCTATAAGTGGTTTACAGAGTCAACACATTGCCCCCAGCAATCTGGGTCCTCATTTGACCGACATCGGAAGGATGGAAGGCTGAGTCAAACCTTGAGCCGGTCAGGATCGAACTGATGGCAACGGGCAGAATTATCCTGCAATCCTGCATTCTAACCGATGGCCATGATGTTGTCACAGGGAGTCCACAATCTTTGAAGAAATGCTATGATTTAAATCTTGAGTTCGGACTTAGGAGGTCCGTGGCTGTGGTCCACGGCCACAAAAGGTATTTGAAGGGGGTTTGTGGTGAAGAAAAAGGTTGACTACCACGGCTATAACACATGAATGCTGATCATGCAGTCACTGTCCAATAGGTCCCCTCTTCCCAAAACGGGATTGCTGAGAGATGTTCACCGATAGCAATGCTTGCAAAGTTCCAGACAGAATAATAAAATCACGGTAATCCATCCAGGAAAAAAACATTCGTTATGAAAACATTCCTAAAAACATCCGGATTGTCCTCCCCAAAGTGTTTGCTTTTGCTCTGCTGGAAGGCAAGCTGGGTTGAAGCATCAGAACTGTGAGTGAGCCAACGTCTCCTTCATTCGGCAAGTAGACCCCGTTGAATTGGGTCTCTTAGACTTAGAAGCCCACCCTGCTGTTTTGGATTCCACCAGCCGAACAGCGCAGATCAGATACGATCCTAGAAGAGAACAAAACGCACCATTTAGGAAGATAGAAATGGATTTAGCTGGGTAGAAGTCAGAAAACATCTCACTTGGTGCCTTTTCTACTAGCAAAATAAGTTTGAATGCTGCAACGCAAGACCCAGGCTGCCCATAGACACCATAATTGCCTCCAGGCAACGTGATGGCCCGTTGCCTGGAGGCCGTACGGGTCTGGATGGGGAGGAACAGACTCAGACTCAACCCTTCCAAGACCGAGTGGCTGTGGTTGCCGGCGCCTTGGCATAGTCAGCTGATTCCATCGCTGTCTATGGGGGCGAAATTTTGGCCCCCTCAGAGAGGGCACGCAACTTGGGTGTCCTCCTGGATCCACGGCTGACACTGGAAGACCATTTGTCGGCCGTGACCAGGGGGGCGTTTTATCAGGTTCGCCTGATTCACCAGTTGCGTCCTTTTCTGGACCGGGACGCTCTGCGCACAGTCACTCATGCCCTCGTCACCTCCCGCCTGG